AAAAATTGTTGAAAAGTACATGGCAACCCATGCATAAGAAGATCTGTCTGAGAAGGGTGGCAACCCATGCATGTGAAGCCATGTTAAAACGAATGTTCAATAACATTGTATGACGCAATTCTCTGAATTTGATATGCAAAATTACACCATTCATATATGTACTTTTATATACATGCTGTATAAATGCACATATGTATTCTGTTAAGTTTTGAATTAAAAAGAACCGTTTATTTTATTCATTCTGTAAACGTTTTGGAAAGGACAAGTCGCGTTTTAAGAAGAAAGGAAGAAAGATTGAAAATTAAAAATTCTTATAATAAAAAATTGGAAAAGTGTTTTGTTAATGTTAAAAAGGACTTGTTAAATAAAGAAGAAATTGTAGATCGTTGTTGATACGGTCTGTGCTGTTCTGGGTCTGCTGGTGAATGCTTGTAGAATTCTTGTTCATCCTGGTGGTTGCTGCTGCTGCTGTTGGGTAGAGGAGAGGAAGGCTTGGTGTTGTCCTGTGGCTGTGGACGCTGGATTATGCAACAGGTTATGGGCCCAGCCCACGCTAAATAATTGCGATAAGTATTACTGAAAGAAAACAAAAGTTTTGGAAATGGAAAAAGGTAAACGCAACATTAAGCCATTCGACGGCGAAAAATATTCTATATGGAAGTTTCGGGTAAGAGCACTTTTAAGCGAAAGTGACGCTTTGAAAGTTATAGACAGTGAGGTGGCAGAGAAAACAGACGAGTGGGCAAAGTTGGATAGAAGTGCTAAAAGCATAATAATAGAATATTTAAGTGACTCTTTTCTTGGTTTTGCTAAAAGCGAGTGTAGTGCAAAAGATATTTTTAAAAACCTTGATGAGATATATGAAAGGAAAAGCTTAGCTTCACAACTGTCGGTACGTAAGCAGTTGCTATCTTTAAAACTTAAGACTGACACGCCATTGTTAGGTCACTTCAACATATTTGATGACTTGATTACAGAGCTACTAGCTTCTGGAGCGCAGGTAGAAGAAATAGACAAAGTATCGCACTTACTTTTAACTTTACCTTCTCCGTATGATGGAGTAATAACTGCAATAGAAACGTTGTCTGAAGAGAATTTGACTTTAGCGTTTGTTAAAAACAGATTACTGGATCATGAAATCAAATTGAAGCAAGCAAGTAAGGAAACAAGTTTAAAAGTGTTACAAGCCGTAAAGAAAGAAAATCAGACTCAATTTTTAAAAAATAAAAGCTTTAGTATACAAAAGAATAAATTTAAGTTTAAAAATAAATTTAATAAGACCAAACTAAAATGTTTTCACTGTGGCAAAACTGGACACATTAAAAGGGATTGCTTCATATATAAGAGAGAAAAGGGAGGAGAAAATAATAATCAAGAAAAAAATAAACAAGTACAAATGGCCTCTACTAGATCAGAGTCAGGTCAATCAGGTTTTGCGTTCATGTTAAGACGAGCAGATTATATAGGAGATAGAATTTCGTTTCTACTGGATTCTGGAGCGTCAGACCACTTAGTTAATAATGAAGATTTGTTCACAAATGTCACAACTTTGGAGTCACCCATAAAAATTGCTGTAGCAAAGTGTGGCGAATATATATATGCCACTAAGAAAGGCTTGGTGGAGCTATGTACCGATTCTCAATCAAAGATTTATTTGAAGGATGTATTGTTCTGTCCTCATGTTCCTGAAAATCTAATCTCTGTTAAGAAGATGCAGGACGCTGGGTTTACAATAGTGTTTCATCCAGGAGGTGTGACTGTAAACAAAAATGATGAAAACATAATGAGTGGTAAATATATCAATAACGTTCCAATTATTAGTTTTACTATAAATAAAAGTGTATATGCATTGAATACAATTAACATTAAAAATTATAGTTTGTGGCATGAGAGGTTAGGGCATATAAGTAGTGGAAAGTTTTTAGAAATTAAAACTATGAATTTATATGATGATGTAGAAATGCTAAATAATGTACAACCAAATGATGAGTTATGCGAAGCTTGCATAAAAGGGAAACAAGCTAGACTTAAATTCGGAAAATTCAAGAATAAAGATCATATTAGAAGGCCGTTATTTGTTGTTCATTCGGATGTATGTGGTCCGATTTCACCTCCAGCCATAGGTAATAAGAATTACTATGTAGTTTTTATAGACGAATATACCCATTACTGCGTCACATATTTAGTGACTTATAAATCTGATGTTTTTGCAGTTTTTAAAGATTTTCTAGCAAAGAGTGAAGCGCATTTTAATTTGAAGGTTGTAAACCTATATATAGATAATGGTGGGGAATATTTATCAAATGAAATGCGAGAATTTTGTGTTGAAAAGGGCATCAGTTACCACTTAACCGTTCCGCATACCCCACAATTAAATGGTGTTTCCGAAAGGATGATAAGATCCATAACTGAAAAGGCTCGTACTTTGGTTATAGGCGCCAAGCTAGAGAAGCACTTCTGGGGTGAAGCTGTGTTGACAGCTACATATTTGATAAATAGAAGCCCAAGTAATGCATTGAAAGAATGCGGAAAAACACCATATGAAATGTGGCATAATAAAAAGCCCAGTCTCAAATACTTGAGAGTTTTCGGTTCAACTGTATATGTCCATAACAAAGTAAGGAAAAGAAAGTTTGACGAAAAGTCATGGAAAGGTATTCTAGTTGGATATGAACCGAATGCTTACAAAGTATGGGATAAGGGTACTGGTAAGTTCACCATTGCAAGGGATGTTGTTGTTGACGAAACAAATATGGTGAATTCAAGAGATTGTGTTGATGTGAATAACGTTGAACTGGAAAAGTGCTTAGAAGTAGCTGAGCTTGATACAAAAGAAGATAATGACTGCTTGAATACGAATGGTGTTCCAAGTACCTGCTCGAATGAAAGTGAGGCAACAGAATGTTATGAGCCATCAGATGAAAAATCTGGAAGAGTGGTAAAGGGAAAGGATAATTTCTGTTCAGCTCCGTTGGGTAACGATATGTGCGAACAAAGTACTTCTAGTTCTTCTTCTGATATTAGAAAAAGTGATAGGTTAAGAGATAAACCAAAGAATGCAAGCTCAGTCGTCGATCGGTAGTACTCCAGATTCATTTGAAGAGATAAAACTTAGGAGCGATAAAGCACAATGGGAAGAAGCAGTCAGAGATGAACTGCAATCACATTTACTTAACAAAACCTGGTCATTGGTGAACAAACCAGAAGATAAGAATATTGTAGACTGTAAATGGATATTTACGATAAAACAAAATGAATTGGGTGAACCAATTAAGTATAAGGCAAGGCTTGTTGCGCGTGGTTTCACGCAGGAATACTTAATTGACTATGATGAAACGTTTGCGCCAGTCGCTAGAATTCCCAGCTCGGTGTATTTATATTCTTGATAAAGGTGATATTTCAAACAATATATATGTTTGAATACGATTTAGTTATTTCAAATAAAAATATTGATACAATGAATGCTTTCAAATCCTATCTGATGGGAAAGTTTAGAATGACTGACCTATTAGAAATCAAATGTTTTATCGGTATAAAAGTTGATAGAAGTGAAGATCAGATAAGTCTAAGCCAATCCGGATATATACAAAATGTTTTAAAAAAATTTAAATGGATGACTGTAACCCAATAAACTCACCTCTTCCTAGTAAACTAAATTATGAAGCATTAAATTCAGATCAAAATTGTGATGCTCCATGTCGCAGCTTAATTGGGTGCTTAATGTATATAATGCTATGCACAAGACCAGATATCAGCATATCTGTAAATTTGTTAAGTCGGTATAGTCAAAAGAATAATCAAGAGTTGTGGCAATGTTTAAAGAAAGTTTTAAGATACCTTAAGGGGACTGTTGACTTAAAACTAACTTTTAAGAAAAATAAGAACTTTAATGATCTCTTAAGTGGCTATGTCGATTCAGATTGGGGTGGAAGTATGAGTGATAGAAGAAGTACTACAGGATATTTATTCAAGATGTATGAATCAAATTTAATTTGTTGGAATACAAGAAAACAGAGTTCTGTGGCAGCTTCATCCACTGAAGCAGAATATATGGCCTTGTTTGAAGCAGTCATAGAAGCACTATGGCTGAAATCTTTATTAGAAAGTTTAAAAATGGAACTTAAAGAGCCAATAAAGTTATATGAAGATAACCAGGGTTGTATTAGTATAGCGAATAACCCTTCTTGTCACAAACGGTCTAAGCATATAGACATAAAATATCATTTTTCTAGGGAACAGGTCGAAAATAATCTTATTAAAGTTTTGTATATTCCCACAGATAAGCAGATTGCGGATATCTTGACAAAGCCTCTTCCTGCTGCACGCTTTATGGATCTGAGAAGTCAAATGGGGCTGACTGTATAATCATCTGGCTGACGCATGAAGAGAATACTAACTAACTGGATGGATTTTTTTTTTTATTGACTAATATGAATTTTAATATTATATTCTATTAACCTAAATTTTTTTTTTTGTCTGGTCTGATTAGGTTTTTCTGGGTTTTCCTAATCCTCGCAACAAATGTTGGACCATTATGCACCCCAGATATAAACAGAAAACCGACTTGTCACAAATCTTTATTTTATTTTAAAAGAGTTTAAGAGTAGATTTATCTTAAGTATTGAATTAACTATTACTATTTATTTTGCTATGAGTGTTGTAATTTTGAGGAGGTGTGTTGAAAAGTACATGGCAACCCATGCATAAGAAGATCTGTCTGAGAAGGGTGGCAAGGGTGGTGCATGTGAAGCCATGTTAAAACGAATGTTCAATAACATTGTATGACGCAATTCTCTGAATTTTATATGCAAAATTACACCATTCATATATGTACTTTTATATACATGCTGTATAAATGCACATATGTATTCTGTTAAGTTTTGAATTAAAAAGAACAGTTTATTTTATTCATTCTGTAAACGTTTTGGAAAGGACAAGTCGCGTTTTAAGAAGAAAAGAAGAAAGATTGAAAATTAAAAATTCTTATAATAAAAAATTGGAAAAGTGTTTTGTTAGTGGAAAAAGGACTTGTTAAATAAAGAAGAAATTGTAGATCGTTGTTGATACGGTCTGTGCTGTTCTGGGTCTGCTGGTGAATGCTTGTTGAATTCTTGTTCATCCTGGTGGTTGGTGCTGCTGCTGTTGGGTAGAGGAGAGGAAGGCTTGGTGTTGTCCTGTGGCTGTGGACGCTGGATTATTCAACAAAAATTGAGGGAGCTACAGTATTACGCCGCCTTCGAACGGCTAATGGATTTTATGAGAAGCTGTTTCATGGCAGAATTACACTCGGTGATTTGCCATTGCCTGCCGAGAAGCGACCGGGGTTAAGAAAAAAAGCATATGATATTGCGAATTTTCTCCAAATAAAGAGTGCGTGATAGTTTTTTTTTGTATGGGAAAAAATGCGGAAGAGCGTCAGTAAAAAACTCTCAAAAATCAACGCTAGCTTATAGCCACTTATAACTTTCAATAAAATTGAGTGACCTACAAAACTGCATATTAAAAAAAAATCTAAAAAATTTTGTTTAAAAGTTGAAAATTTTAGTGAAAATTTACCGAATCTTCCAAAATTTTGTAAAAATTTGTGTCATTTGATGCAATATGCACTATATTTCTATTAAAAACTAACTATTATTACGAAAAAACATTGCAAACGTTAAAAAAAATAAACACTTTACGGAGACTAACAGCCGTATTCTAATAAAGTCACGAACCTTAGGTCATCACTTCTGAGATTTCTACCGCACCTCAAAATTTTCTACTGGTACAAATATGCCGCTACAACAAAATTTTTTAAGATTTTCTTAATTTTTTAACACTTAAAATCGAGTTGTTGTGCCACATCTCAAGTAGCACGCTGGTGCATAACTTGGTGTAAATTTGTGGATTTTGGCACAATTAACCAAATTTACACCAGTGTGCTACTTGAGATTTTGCAGCGCACTAGAAATCACAAAAGTGATTACCATATTTTGTGACTCTGTTAGAATAGAGGGGTAATTCTGGTGGATGTATGTGTTTACTAATCTCCAATCGAATATGAATACAACAAAATGGACACTTTTGAAATGGCTTGTTTGCATAGATTAATTAATTTGCGGAAAATGACAGCAATGCGACGTAATTGTGTTTTTGCATTCAAATCCGAGAAAACTTCTCAAATTCAGAACATCTTTTCCTCTACCGCGCATGAGCCATTTTGTAGATCGATTTGCTACTATATTGTCATGACACTTCATTGACATTCACATTTGCGTTGCAAGTGGCGAGCAATGACAATAAACGCACTCAGGAAGTTATTTACTATTGCCAGTTGTGCATTTTTGGCACAAGTTCAAATAGCATCTGATAGCTGCCATCCTATACAAACTCACAAAAAAGAATGAAATTTTAATAAAAAATACCGCTTAGCAGAGTGTCCAGATTTGGCGATTTCGCGCCAATTTGGCGATTTTTCTTGGATATTTGCGCGTAAAAATTTAGGAAATCGCCATTGGCGATTTTTGAAGACCTTTTCCCTTCAAATAAATTTTTTCCAATTATAAAAATATACAAAACCTAGTTTTCCACGATAAATTTACAGAAGAGGCTAATGAACTGCGTGATAAACTTGACTTAAGAAGCATATTAAAAGACTGTCAAAATTGTTTAATCACCCATCCAAGAACTTTTGAAACGATAACCTAGTCTATTAAATACTTTTAAAAAAGCTTTGATTTTGCCACCAGAAAAGTGTGTGAATCACAAGAGGGCGAGTTTCAGGGACCTGCCAATTCACTATTCGACTTTGAAGGAAAGAAAAGCAGTTTAAATCTTTTAACTTGCCCAAGGAATAACTTTTCTCAGAACCATTCCATTCGACTCTGAATAATTTTGGATAATTTCTTACGGAGTGGAAACCGCAACATACAATAAAATGTTTGGAAATATAAGTAAATTTATATTATTATCCTTTCCGCACTCTCATGCTCTGTTGAGCGCATTTTTTCCGTAATGAATTCAATAAAAACTAAGATTCGAAATAGGATGAGGTTGGAAAGCCTTAATTCAATAGTTCGAATAAAGTGTTATATGAAGGCTAATAGTTTCTGCTGCAAAACGTTTCCAATATCAAACAATATGTTATCAAGGTTGAATAGCTCAATATGTGACAACAACAGAAATGTAAATGATTCAGACACTATAAGTGATTTTGAAGAAATTGTGGAAATAGCTGATCTGGCCTTATTATAGGTTTTTATTTGATTTTTTAGCGCCGAGCTCATAAAAGCGGATTGTGCGATTAATCAATTAATATCTATGAGTTAAATATAATAAATTTAATAATTGCGCAGTCCTATTGTAAAATATTTTTAAATAGTATGCGTATTTTTAAAGAAAATTGTTTGTACATTACTACTACTTAAATGATTTGTGTTATTTATTATTACGCTCTGAAGGTGTTATATTCGTTTTTGGTTTTAAAGACTATATTATAACAATATCTCATCTTTAAAACAAAAGATTTGTTAAATCGATTTCATGAATTTTATTTTAAAGAAAAAATTGGCAATTTTTGGCAATTTTTTTTCAGAAATTGCGCTTTTTATTATTATTATTACCTCCCTTTTTCTAGCTCGGGATGTATCTATGTAATATTGATGCGCCTAAAAGATGCAGCGATTTCTATTCTCAAGTTACATACCTGAATGGAAATTATAATAGCGAGGTTTTAGTTTTTTAAACTATAATTGTATTTTTAAACAATCTGGACACCCTGCCGCTCAGTGATTTCATTCCAATTGCGATTTACATTAAATGCCAGTCGTTTGTTATCTCGCCGACGACTACATATCAAAATTACACGTTTGTCAGAAAATGCGAAAAACTATTCTTAGCACATGCTAATCATATGGGCAAGGGAGACTTTACCTTAGGGGTTTTCAAAAAATGATAACAAAAATTTGCTCCAGCTTTTACTGAAAGGTAAATAAAAGCTCTGTGTACATTTTTGGCGCATAATTTCAAAAATGCCTAGGAAGATGATCTAGAAATTCGACTAGCCAAAGCAATAACACTAGTAGCGTTGTACCGATACAAGTAACTACGAGTAAGTACTCGACACTTTCTTCAAGTACTGAGTACTTTTTGTACTCGAATCCTTCCCGCAAGTACTTTGGTGGCTATCGAGTACTCGGTTAAAGTATTTACTTGCTTTTCTACCTATTCAGGATTTTGGTTGTGACAATATATGAATGACACTATAGTGTTTTGGCAACACGTTCATACCTTAAGTTGTATCCTACCTTCACTTGTATGAAGCAAATAAAATATATAGCGGTAACGCTGAGCAGTTGGAGAATCGGACTTCGACAGCGCGTTAAAAGGTGCAGCTGGCTGAAGGAATAAAGGAACTGTCAATGCTGCAGGTACTAATCAAATTTTCAGGTTTTCGAAAAATTTTGGCCCAAAGTACTCGATCAAGCTCTTCGCTACTCTTTTGTTAAGTTTCGGTTGGAAAGTACTCGAATTGTTTCTTTTTTCTTCCTAAGACATCGCATTTGTCGCGGCAGCAGAAAACGCAACGTTCTTATTTAACTTATCAAACTTTTTTAATAAGTATGTAAAAATACATACAGACATGCACAGGCCCTTGAATTTATATAATCATTTCCGAAATTTTTATATTAGATCTACGGAATGTTATAATGAATTCGATACGAGTAAGTATAGAGTACTTCTCTCCGATGCATTTGTGGCATCGATATTTTTAAAGAGTACAGGAATCGAGTACATGGCGGTATCGGAAGAACACTAAACACGAGTCGATAAAAGTATTATGCCGCAGATCTTTTTTTTCAATATGAGCAACAGAAAAATTATTTTTAAAGCAGGCATAAAAATTACCCGAAAAGGAATAAGGAAGAGTAGACCAAGTGTTGCCGTTGTGCGACTAAAAGGGTCAACCTTTTCCAAAATTATGTGCCACTTTTGTTCCCTTTTTCTGAGATTATTATAGGAAATTTTAACAAAACCATGCTACTAAAAACCTTTCCTCCCGTAAATATCAAAAAAGCAGCACTTAAAACGTTTCCTCTTGCAGCAATTTGTTTAAAACCCTGTATGGAATTGTGCTGTTATGGCTACATGTGTATGATTATTTTATGTAAACAACGATCTTTTGGTTTAGAATAAATAACTATTTAGTTACAACATATTACAGTAAAACTTCAGAAAACAACAACAAATGTCATTAATTATAATCAGATAACAAGTACAATCGTCTTTTAATAACACGGTGTCACACTAATCATGAACTTTTTAAGTGACCTAGTACAGGTCGTAGAGCTGGTCGAGTAATTGAGGAAAGTGCGCTTTAAATTTTTGTAACACCTTCGAATTCTCGACTTATTCTTAAAAAACCATTTTTCATGACTTTCCGCAATAAACAGTTTTAGCCCGGTTAGTCTTTACCCAATTTTAAGTTTTTATACGGATTTGGAAAGAATAATATATGTGCTATTTTAAGAAATAATAAGTTTTGTGAGCACATTGTAAATGTGTGGACAATTTTTGGAACAAGTTTACGCAAATTATATTCAACAATTTTTATTGAGCTTGAGGCCGTTGTTAATGAAAAACTATTGATAGCTATTTCGGAAATCGCCACATTTTCCTCATCAGACTTCTTTCTGTAGGATCCGAAGCGACGATCCCACTGACTCAGCCAGTTGCCTACGCACTGTGCTAAGTTAGCCTTGTAAATTATCGTTGCTTTTTTCCCACTTTTTCATTTGCTAAGCCAACACAATCAAGCGCAGCTATTCCGCTACGATTTACACTTGATCATGTGGTTATTGGTTTTGTTGGTTTTTGTTAATAATTCTATTTTTAGAATTTATAACTTTTAGGTGTGCTCGTCCTTAAGTTATTTGTTTTTGTTATTTTATGGCCTTATAACAATTATATTCAACAATTTTTATTGAACTCGAGGCGGTTTTTAAAGAAAAACTTCTTGTGGAAAAGCAACAATAATTTGAAAAAAATGGTAGAAAAGATAGCTATTTCGGAAATTACCACATTTTCCTCATCAGACTTCTTTCAGTAGGATTCGAACCGACGATCCCACTGACTCAGCCAGTTGCCTACGCACTGTGCTAAGTTAGCCTTGTAAATTATCGTTGCTTTCTTTGCTAAGCCAACACAATCAAGCGCAGCTATTCCGCTACGATTTAAACTTGATCATGTGGTTGTTGGTTTTTGTAAATAATTCTATTTTTAGAATGTTTAACTTTTAGATGTGCTCGTCCTTAAGTTATTTGTTTTTGTTATTTTATGGCCTTATAACAATTAAATTCAACAATTTTTATTGAGCTCGAGGCCGTTTTTAA